AGCATGAAGCTCGATGCACTTTGATGAAAGATCTTTCAAATTTAATTCAAGATCATTTGGAGCCTAAATTTCACTAGTTTATTGTTAAAATGACTGCCTCGACAAGACGAACTCAATAATATTAAATTCGGTTCAATTTGGAATCAGTCAAGCTCAGATCAAGTCGTTGAAGTACAATTGAAAATTCTATATCATCAATTGAATGATCAAATGAACTTCAAAGTTGATATATTTACAGTCAAATTGAGAATCTCGACTAGAGGAATCCAATGAGCCCCAAGATTGCTAAATTCTAACGTCATTAAAGAGCCCAAATCCTTAAAAATCCACCTAAGATCAAGAAGGGTCAGCAAGGACTGCCCAATCATGTGATTAGGGAAGTTACATGTTAAATTATCAAAATGCTCTCCTTTCAGAGCCTATTACGGAGATGACCTAACGAGTAACTACTAGCCTCTATAGTCGCAAATCACAATCTACCTTCAATCGACCATATTCGATCACCGCCAACCATCACTATATATCGTCGGTGACCACTACTTGCAACTGTTGCAGTCAGACTATATGGAGTCTTTATAGCAAACTACTATTATTACAGCCTCTAATTGCAACATATGTGATTGTCATTATTGCAACCATTGACTACAGCTACGATCTTTGTAGCCAACCAGTACTATTACAGCTTCAAACTACAACCTATGTAGTATTGTCGTTATTGCAACCATTGACTACAGTTTTTATGACCAACTATTACCTTTCTAGTAACCATGACATTTGTGGCCAACTATTACTATTATAAAGTCTAATTATGATTTTTATGATCAGCTGCCACTATTCCAACCAATAAGTATAACATGTATGACCAACTATTGCATTTTTAACAACCAACTACGATATTTGTGTCCAATTATTATTGTTACATCATCCAATTATTGTATATGTGGCCAACTACCTTAATTGCAGCCAATATGACCAAATACTATCGTTACAACAACCAACTACAATTTTTTAGGCCAATTGCTATCGTTCCAACTCTAGCCTATGTGACAAACTGCCGCTTTTGCAACCACCGATTACAATCTTTTATGTCAAATTACTGTCTTTGACATATGTGGTCTTTGTGGCCAACTACTATTATTACAACTTCCATCTACGCCTTATGTGGCCAACTGCCGCTATTACAACCACTGACCACAGTTTTTATAGTCAACTAATGTCTTTGCAGAAACCAACTATGGTATGTGACCAATTATTGCTCTTACAACTTCCAACTACGGTCTCTATAACCAACTGCTACTATTGCAGTCACTGCCTACAATCTTTATGACTAACTATTACTTTTGTAGCAACCCACTATGACTTTTGTGACCAACTACTACTATTATAGCTTTCAACTATGGATTGTATAGCCAACTACCGCTATTACAACCATCAATTACAGTCTTTATGGTCTGCTGCTGCCTTTCTAACAACCAACTATGACTTTTATGACCAACTATTGCTACTATAACCAAGAACCACGTTCGTCGAAGCCCAATTATGGCAACTATCACTAAATTACTATTGTAAATCTATGATTATCAATTTTGTATTTCCATATCATCTTACTATGAAGAAGAATGGATCTATGTACATACAATTGTATAGTGGATCACATCTCGAATCAAATTAATATTCTCTCTTGAGAATACCATTTTAGAAGTGCGAAGCCAATAACCTCTTATTTTCATTGCAATGGATTCAAATACTCTTTTGATTAAACGGACATAAGAGTCTGGCACGATGAATTTAATTTGAGGCATTTGTATACATACCATCGAATTCTTTTGTGTTTACATAAAATAGCACTATTTTATTTATTTATTTATTTCACCCAAAGTTTTCATATCACATCGAAATATCATCATTTTAATTCTTAAAATGTGAAATGCACTTTTTTATGTGAAGGTATGGTGGCATGAATGTAAAATTTAAATTTAGGTGTTAGAAATGTAAATACATAGGAATAGAGTGGTATATATGCACTTAAATCTTTATTTTGATTTCATCTTCAATTAGTCTAGAAGGAGACAAATATTATAACGTTAATTATCTCAGTCCCATGTTTGTATAACTAAAAACAGTTTTGAAGTCACCGTAGCGGTTAAGTAGAATTTCGTGACATCAAATTGCCGGCTACGCTTTCGTTCGATAACCGAATTTTGATATGTATTTCCAATGCAACGTTGCAGGCAAGTAGAGATATGATAATCTTATATATATATATATATATATAATTTTGGTCTGAACATATATCATGTAGTAAAATAATCAATAAGCAGAATTATCAACCCTATCAATCACATCAAAAGGCGAAATCAATCTCAGACTCAACTGGCCCCCCGCTTTATCAAATCTAATCGCTTCATTTCATTGGATTGTTCGTAAAAAATATAAAATCTTCCACATGAATTTCAACTGTGAATGCTTGAGATCATAATATTTCCTCTGTCTATCTTGTGTAGTTTTTAGTTTATCTTAGATTACTCTGACCTTTCTGTCGCATCATCTACCAACTCAGAACCCATCAATCTCCTTTCAGTCACCTTTATCCAAGATGAATGTGTCCTATAACTCATATCATATAATACCTCATAAAAAGAAAATGTGCAGACTTTGATAACCAGTTAATCATCGTCCATATTACATCATAACCCTATTTGGACCTTGGAAAACCCATACCGAAATCCACAGTGACATCCTTCAACTTCCACTTAGAATAGGCAAATGTCGCAACAAACCACTAGGTCTCTAATGTTCTGCATTCACCATCTGACATGTCTTACAACTCTAAACAAACTCTACAACCTCATGCTTTAAACCAGGCCACCAAGATATTAACTTTAAATCATGATAAATCTTACTATTTATCAGATTAATTGTATTCTCAAATCACCACTAGCATGAACCCAATATCGATGCCCACAAGTCAACACCACATGATCGTTCACATGTAGTTCATTTCTTCTCCCTGAATGAATTTGATCAACTAATATAGCAAACTCATCATCTAACTCCTAAGCTTCCTTAATTTTCTCCTATCGTAAAAACTAAACAATATATCCACATTAACTAAATGAATAACTTCCAACTCCAATCTCTTCATCTCTCAAATTAGAGTCTCATCAAATGTAATCATATAAGTTGTTGCACAAACACATTTTCTAAGTAAACATCAGATCATTATATATCAATCTTTAAACTCAACCTTATATAGCATTATCATGATGTTCCCTTGAAACAATCTCATAAAAGACTTCTGCTTTTGTTTTCTAGCCAATTGAGGTACAAACAATGCTATAAAAGTATTAAGCTCCCAAGTAATTTTAGCATTTAGCTTGCCTTGAAATTTCTTTTTTTACTAGCCTAGCCACCAACACATGATTGGAAGCTGATATTATAGGCAAACTCAATCAAACAAATATGATCCTCCTAGCTCCCTCCAAAATCTAAAGGTGGCCCCTACATATTCAAAAGGAAGCTCTCTTCATGTAGCATTTTGTTCCATCCAAGATTCAGTAGGTGGCTCCCATGGTGTAGCATGTTGTTCAGTATGAAACTTAGTACCTATCTTCTAGCTAGTCTAATCCTCAAGGTATAGAGCACTGACGAGGATATTAGGTACTTAAGTGGGAGAGATTGTGAAATCTCTTAAGTTGAATAAAGTCGAAGCCTTAAATATTGAGGCATCTTTTGGTGTAACAGTGAAATTTCATTTGAAGCTCCAAAGTTGGTGCTCTCATTGGAGCACAATAAGGATGGGCGACCTCCTAGAAAGAGTTAGTTCGTTAGACCAAAAACAGACAATATGTCAATGGGTGAGAGTTCAGGTTGTTATAAATCTTAACTATATATATCCTACTCCAAACTAAACAAATATCTATATATGTGCCCACCGTAATATCAAAGTGTGTATGAGTTAGTGTGGCTAAGTTTATACTCATACCATCTTAATAAGACCACCAAAATTAATCATGTCATGACCCAATCCAATGCAACCCATCATATCATTATGAGTTGCCTCGTGTTGATGCCATAACTGCTAAATAATTATCTCAGATCTAATTGTAAGGAATTTTATTTGCTTATTTTTTAATTTTTTTACACGCACAGAACCACTAATATCATCAAAAATCACTAGACAAAATTACTCAAAACTCTTTCAAATTATATTATAAATTATACAACAAAATGAAACATATACAAAAATCATAAAAGCCTCCTTAATCAACAAAATATATATATATCGCACCACAGACTACTCAGGGTCTTTAGGTGTATTGCATGCACAGACAGATAATTATATAAGTGCTCAAGCCCTTCTAACTCAATTTGAATGATCATATAATCACCCAATCACAACCACCACCATTTCTCCCATCTTTCTTATTATATATTTTTAATGATCTTAACATATGTGAATATCACTAACTTGCTGCAAAAATCTATAGAATTTGATATCTACAACTTATAGTAAAATTTATATGATACTTTAATGTGGACCCAGCCAAAACCACAGCTTACAAAATTATATATATAATATATATATATATATGATAATATTTCAAAACTTTTCATGTTTTATTGTCATTTTTATTGGTTTCAATATATTCAATAAAATAGGTAAAATTGATTGGTATATGTGTAAATGTCCCTAAATTCATTTAACATTATTTCCCCCAAAAAAATTTCAAAAAAAAAAAAAAAACCTAAAACGGATATCTTAAGACTAACAATGTCCCAGAAATGCTTTATTTTTTAAAAAATTTATTTAATAATTTAAATATATTTTTATGCCTTTATTATATAGAATAACTCCTTAAATTCCAGAATGGAAACATTTTAACCACTAACACTGACTATTATTATTAATTAATATCTTAAACTGAGAGCAGCAGGCTAACTCCAAGCTCCCTATATATATATATATGTTCTTTCTTTACACTTTCCCACTCGCACCACTAAGGAGCAGTTACTGGCCCTTCCCCGCCTTCTTCGCCCTCCTCCCAGTAGCTCCAGACTGAAGCGCTACGGGCCTGGGGCTACCGGTTTCTCTCTTTCGCCTCTTCTCCTTCATCTAATTCAGTCCTTGTTAAGCTGGCATTGAGATTATGTTAAAAGATTCGTTGGAATTCGTGGATTGTTCTACTTAGTGGAGATTCAAAATCTTTGTTCTTCGATATTTCCATTTGTTTCTTGGTGTTTTTCTTTCGTATTTGGTCAAATCTTCGACCCTTCAATGCTTTTTATGCTATGTAGATTCATGTTGATTTTTCTTGAGTTGAGTGTTAGAAACATTTTCAGAAGAGAAGGTTCATCAATTTTTGGCAGATAAGCTTTGTTATTTTGATCTTTATAATATGAGTTTAATTTGAGGGTTTCCTGTGTTGATTCAGTAATCTGACTAGAACTCATTTTTTTCAGCATTTCCTGTTATAGTTATTGTTGCAGTGTTTTTTTACTGATCTAACTTTTATACACTTTTATTAATATGATGAATTTATGTTTTAGTATCCCTGTCTCTTTAAAGAATGCGGCATTTAAATTTCTTCTGAGCTACCTTGATTGAAGTTTGTCTGAAATTTTAATGGCTGCATCAAATTCTGTCCATAGCACCTTAGGGAACAACTAATTTTTTCTATTTTTTCCCCTAATTGATTTTTTCTTAAATGTCAAGCTTTCATATTCACTAAGAGTCATATTAGAATTTTCAGGGATCTTTTTGTCAGTTTTTTTTCCAATTTCTCTGAAATGGCTTCAAAGACCTTATAGATTATCAATCCCCAAACATTTATTTATTTTAGGAAGATTAAGAAACATACCACTTAATTCCTACATATTTACGTATCTAACACCAAAAGTTCAATTTTTACATATATGCTACCTTACCTATGCTTGAAAAGGTATATTTCACTTTTCATAAGTTAAAAAAAGTGGTATTTTTAATGTGATATGAACGATTTGAGTGGTATAAATGTGAGAAAAGTAAAGTTTAGGGGTTAGATTCGTAAATATATAAGAATTGAGTGGTATGTATGTAAATGCTAATCATTTTCCATCTGCTAAGTGCTGCTGTTTCTCCATCTTGTAGGCTTCTTACCTTCTTTAGATGTTCTTAATTTCATAGGTGATAAACTAATCTACTGCAAAACATGGCTGCTACTCATACTTTCTTTCTGGGAATTATACTTTTATTATGCTGGTCCTCGATTGGAGAAGCTGAATATATGAAGTACAAAGATCCTAAGCAACCAGTTGGTGTTCGAATCAAGGACTTAATGCAACGGATGACCTTAGCGGAGAAAATAGGCCAAATGGCACAGATTGAGCGAAAGGTTGCAACAATGAATGTCATGAAAGATTACTTTATAGGTGAAATTTAAAGACTGGGTTTTTTCTTAATTGTAGGCCCATTTGTATGTTTTGATGAAAAGCTTGGATATTTATGCTGAGATTTTTTTGCAGGTAGTGTTTTAAGCGGCGGGGGCAGTGTGCCGGCTCCAAAGGCATCGGCTAAGGATTGGATAGACATGATAAATGCCATCCAAAAGGGTGCTTTGTCGACACGGCTGGGAATTCCAATGTTATATGCTATTGATGCTGTTCATGGCAATAATAATGTCTACAATGCAACCATATTCCCTCACAATATTGGACTTGGTGCAACTAGGCAAGTATATTTTTTTAATTTTAAGGGGCATTTACATGCATACCACACAATTCTTATGTATTTGCATATCTAACATGGAAACATTCATATTTACATGCATGTCACTTAAATATTTAATATTACGCCAAAAATACTACCAATACTATTCTTTTTTAAATTAGAACACACCTTTTCATGCATAGGCTTATGACACCAAGGTGCGTGCAAATATCAAAATTTGTGTATTAGATATGTAAATACATAATAATTGTGTGGTATGTATGTAAAATTTGCTAATTTTAATTGGAAGGGCTCTAGTTGTAGATTGCGGTTCTTTTTTGTGCCATACACTATTGTTCGAGTTACATATAGTTGGTTTTGTTGTTTTTGGTTTGTTTGGTCATGGATTTAGGGATGAAAGGATAACTTTAGATTAGTGGTCATGCCAGAAGTTATTTCAATTTTCTTCCTTTCACTTTAACATATGTCAAATTGCATTTACGGGGTGCCTGAAGCATTTGTACTTCTAAATGGATGTCATATCTGATTTTGGTGCTTCTCAAAGACTTGATAATTATGAACTTGGAAATGCCTGTAACACCTACAATAACTGATAGTTTTTATAAAATAAAGCTCCAAAGGGCTATCTATCTTCTAAACTTTCATTAATTGTGATAATTATACGCGAATAAGGTATGACAACAAATTATATTCAAATTTAGTTTATTATTATTGCATGCTACAAAATTTGAGATAGCAGAGTGAATTTTTTTCATATTGCTAGACGGATTGTTGCACAAACAGAGAAAAAAGAAACTCATAAGAGATACTGAAATTTTTACATGAAAGATTAGGAATAGTAAAATCACACTAGGCCTTTAGTTAAAATAATTCACGATATAAATTGAAGATTATTAAAATTTCCCCTTCCTCCTAACTGGAGAAGGCAAGATTACAAAGGTAAATTGTTGGTTTTTCCCTTTTGAGACTAAATATTAGAGAAATTGTCAGGGGTGACGAGCTACAGTGTCATCAACAACTTTCTATTCTGAAAATAAACTTTTTCTTTATGAAAATTAAAAGAAATCATTCAAAGTTTTTTCTACAAAAATTAAAAATATATACAGTTCCAACAGCTTCCCCTCTCAAATCTTGCTTCTTCAAGCCTCATCTTTTCATTTGATTACATTTATACTATTAGGATTTTGTACTTCAGAAGCTCCTTTATAAACTTTAGCGTATAGGTTGGACACATCTCAAAATAATACTGTTTTTTGAAATTTCTTTCTTAACTTTTGGATCTCATCATCTGGCAGGGATCCTGATCTTGTGAAACGAGTTGGTGCTGCAACTGCTCTTGAGGTTAGGGCAACTGGCATACCGTATGCCTTTGCTCCATGTATTGCGGTAAGAACATACTGCTGACGACACTAAAATTCAAAATTTCTCTTCTACATCTTTGTTGTAACTTTTATCATGACAAATATGGACCATTAATTTCTTATAATGACATACATTCTCTCTTCTTCAGGTTTGCAGAGATCCAAGGTGGGGTAGGTGCTATGAAAGCTATAGTGAAGACCACAATATTGTACAAGCAATGACTTCAATAATATCTGGTTTACAAGGAGATCTCCCAGCAAATCATAGAAAGGGCACTCCATATGTTGGTGGAAAGTAAGAGCTACAGATTCCGTTAGCACTTGTGTTTTTTTTTTTTAATCATTTTTTCAGTCCATATTAACTAATCTAGAAAAGTGTCAAGACGGTGTCCTCACTCTTTGTTGGGTGTAAATTTAGTCCCAGAGTTTATAGAAGTATCATTTTAATATTGGTTGAAGTAGTCAGCTGTGATGATTATTTTAACTCTCATTAAAACAGTCTGGAGAAATATAACATTTTTAAAAACTTTGAGACTACTGTGACCTCATCTAAATGGTTAGGGGACTACCTTTCACATTCTCATTCAAAATCTGTTGTCTATTCTTCTTTTTTTCTACGAGAAAAATGTTAAATAGATCCCCTAACTCTTTGTAGGGAGAATTTTTAATCCTGAAGTCTATAAAAGTGACAATATAGTCCCCATACTTTTTAAAATGGGTTAAAATAGTTCGAAATGAGGACTATGTTGGCTCCGATTAAAAGATTTGAGAACAAATTTGACACATTATCCTTTTCATACTTTTTATTGACATTGGGCATATGATAACATGTGATGATATTTGATCTATCAGAGATAAGGTTTTGGCTTGTGCAAAGCATTTTGTCGGCGATGGAGGAACACACGAGGGAATTGATGAGAACAATACCATTATCGATCGCCATGGATTGTTCAGTATCCACATGCCTGCTTACTACAACTCCATTAACGACGGAGTTTCCACCATCATGGTATCTTATTCAAGCTGGAATGGTGAAAAAATGCATGCTAACCGGGAATTGATCACCGGTTTCCTAAAGAACACGCTTCATTTCAAGGTCTGAAAAGTCATAAATTTCATGGAACGAAATAATATTTTAAATGCAATTTTTTTTGCTAACTGTTTTGGAATTTGCAGGGCCTTGTTATCTCAGATTGGGAGGGCATTGATAGAATAACTAGTCCTCCTGGTGCAAACTACACCTATTCTGTGCAAGCTGGAGTTAATGCTGGAATTGATATGGTTAGCAACTCTTTTACCACTAAAACTGGTAGTGAGGTCCTAATTTATTCTATACAAGATTTTCTCCCCATTTTTATCAGCACTTCTTTATACATCACTTTAAGTACTTACTCAAAATTTTATCCAACATTGATTTTGTTACGAAAATAATGCGAAGAATAGTAAAAGAAACAGAGAGCTTAAAACACAGATTGATGTGAAAAACTCAGAATGCGAAAAATCATGAGCTTATGAGAAGAAAGTTTACTACTTTAGAAGTAGATTATAAAGTTGAGCACTTAGGGTTCAATGGCCGTATGTATATGAGAAATTTACTTGCAAACCATATAATTCTTATGTATTCACATACCTAACACCCAAAATTTGATATTTACACTTATAATATGGTGTTGTCATAAACCTATGCATGAATATGTGTAGTTCACTTTCAAAAAATAGCAATTGTGGTATTTCTTATGTTATGTTAAAAGATTTGAGTGGCATGCATGTGAATATGAATATTTTAGGTGTTTCATATATAGATATGTATGTATGTAAACACCCCATATATGGGAAATTTACATAGATACCATGTAATTCTTGTGTGCGCGCGTGCACGCATGTGTGCATGTGTGTGGCTGTATATACAGAAAAAAAAAAAAGAATAAAAAAAAAACCCAAAAAAACATATTGATTCATGCTGCTCGGGATGCAGTAACAACCACCACATATCTCCCCAAAGATTTTCTCATACATTCGGTTGATCCACATATATTGCACCGCAAACTATTTTATCCAAACCCAACAGAATTCAGATTTACAAATTTTAAAATATTTACATTTGATTGTTCCATCAATTTCATTCCATAATGATCATAGTATTCTTATCTTTTATTTTTTGCTCCTCATATCTCAGGTGATGGTTCCTTATGACTTCACTTCGTTCATCGACAACCTCACTACCCTCATCAATGACAATGTCGTCCCCATGAGCAGAATAAACGATGCTGTGAGAAGGATTCTCCAATTAAAATTCTCCCTTGGCCTATTCGAGAATCCTTACGCCGATCTTAGCTTCGCCGATCAACTTGGAAAGAAGGTTTGCCCAATCAATCAATCTCCATCACTAATGCTTCATTGTTATAACAAAACTCTCTCTTTTCTTTCTCATCATCCCCAAGATGTTCATCAGCTTTGAATAAATCAATGTTACAGGAGCACCGGGAATTGGCGAGGGAAGCTGTGAGGAAATCTCTTGTGCTGCTGAAAAATGGCAAATCATCAAAAGAGCAAATTCTGCCGCTGCCGAAGAGAGCTCATACAATCCTTGTTGCTGGTAGCCATGCCGACAACTTGGGTTATCAGTGTGGTGGGTGGACAATAGAATGGCAAGGAGGTAGTGGAAGAATCACTGCTGGTGCGTAGTATAATGTTCGTTTATATAAATATGGGGCATTTAGTTAGGTACCACATAGTTCTTTTGTATTTACATGTTAAACATTTTTATTTATATGAATAGCTCTTAAATCTTTAATGACGCATCAAAAATACCATCATTGCTATCTTTTTAAAGGCAAAATACAGTTTTTTTATGCATAGATGTATGACACAGAGGTGTTATAAGTGTGAATATCACACTTTGGGAGTTAGATATGTAAATACATAAGAATTGTGTGGTATATATGTAAATTTCTTGAAGGGCATTTACATACATACCATGCAATTCTTATCTATTTACATATCTAACATCTAAACATTCATGTCTACATACTGACAGACATACCACTCAAATGAAGTATAACTTTTCATGCATATGTTTATGACCAAAGTATTATAAGTGTAAATATCAAGCTTTGGATGTTAGATATGTAAATATATAAGAATTGTGCGGCATGTATATAAATTCCCCAAAGCATAAATGTTATTACATAGTTGCTTTATTCTTTTGCAGGCACAACAATCCTAGATGCCATTAAATCGACAGTTGACCCTGCAACAAATGTCATCTTCTCTGAAAACCCAGATGCTGCCTTTCTGCAGAGCAACAATGTCTCCTATGCCATTGTTGTCGTGGGGGAGACTCCCTACACCGAAACTGCCGGAGACAGCCTCAACCTGACGATACCAGAGCCCGGTCCGAGCACCATCCAGACCGTCTGCAAAGCTACAAAGTGCATTGTTGTCCTCATCTCTGGCAGGCCCGTCGTGATAGAGCCATATGTTCCGGTCATGGACGCGCTCGTTGCAGCCTGGTTGCCAGGCTCCGAAGGACAGGGAGTAGCTGATGTCTTGTTTGGAGACTATGGATTTACAGGGAAGCTTCCCAGAACTTGGTTCAAGTCTGTAGACCAGCTGCCTATGAACGTTGGAGATGAGCATTATGACCCATTGTTTCCCTTTGGTTTTGGATTGGTTACAGAGGCTGGAAGAGCTTAGGATTTATAGGTACATCGTCTCTGTTATCAGGTTTTGATGATATCTGTATTGAATGTGTATTTGTGATGGTGTGTTTTCAGGGAATGGCTTGAATAATTGAATGGAGTGAGGGATTGGAATGAAATTCAGGCAAAGTTTGTGGTTTGATTTGAGAAATGATATTGACAAAAAATAATTTAGGGAAGATTTACATGAATGCCACTCGATTTCTATGTATCTATATATCTAACACGTAAACTTCTGTTTTTTTGCATATATCCCACTTTACATAGGTATGAATTTGTGTATTTTACATTTTTTTTAAGTCAAAATAGTGGTATGTTTGTTGTGATATAAAAAAATCGGGTGGTATAAATATAAAAAAGGTAAGTTTAGGTGTTAGATATGTTAATATATAGGAATTGGGTGGTCTAGATGTAAATGCCCAAGTAATTTATGACTGAAGATGTTATGTTTTTGAATACCTTATGGAGAAAAGTTTAAGATTCATTGGTTTAATTGGGGACTTGGAATCAACCTGAGGTTGAATCAAGATTGAACCGAATAATTTAATAAATATAAATATTAAATAATATGATCTAAATGATAAAATAATAAAGTAAAATAAGAAAAAAACTAATAACAGTTAAGTATCTTATCAGCTAGGATCTGAAGGTTGTAAAGCTCTGCTACACAAACTTACGTGGCAGCAGTGCTCCTATGTCACGATGTGATGTCCTTATATCACGATGCGGCACCCTTATGTTGATTGGTTAACTAGCATCAATACGAAGGTATCAAAATCATTTATAAATTTAAGAAGGCACAAACACGCCAAAAGACAATAATAACATAAACAAGCAGGGGGAAAAACATGTAGTTTTAAACATTTAACTCTTTATTTTTTTTATAAATAACGGATCCATAGCATGTATTAGCAGCATTTTGGCTCTCTCCGAACCCATACTTTGTAGGGAGAATACTCTCCCCTTCTCTCTTGTAACCTTTATTTTCAATATATAAAATAGGTCATAGAGCCCGGATACATCTCAGTTCGCCCCTACAGAGCAAAAGTTTGTGTTTTCTCTTTTCCTATATTCTTCTCCTCTCTCTACTTCTCCTCTCTAGATCCTATCGCTTCGATCTTTGGGCATGCCTCATAGGACAAATGTGGATTCAACGTCATAAAATGTGTGGTGAGTGTAGAGTATGCAACCAACAAGAATGTAAGTGACACCAACAAGGACAAATGCATCTCAGAGGCATTCCTAACAAGAAACACACACAATTTTATGTCATCTTCCTAGAGTCTTTGGCTAGAAGGCGAGTACCACAAAATAGATGGTTGGCTCCTGATGGTTAGAACAAGCTGACCGACCATACCCATGCAACAGTCAGTCGACTCTGGGCTGCTTACACCTTACTCAGTGAATGAATTGGGCATCATCTTAAAAATTATTTGTTTTATCACACTTAAGTCTCTTTAATATTTTTCCCTTGACACTTGGGGAACTTGAATTCAAGAAGCAATGCTGACAACGAACCCAAAGAGGACGGATCAGCAAAATTGCCCACAACCCTCCCTCACCATAAATCCTGGTCTCCAAACTTGAATCAGATAAAGCTCTAGAGGTGGTTTCCTACCCATTAACAATAAGATCTGTGAAGGTTATGACACAAATCACCCCAAAAGTCAGTCTTGACAATTTTCTACCCAATAGTTACAAGCTACAAAATGGGTGTGGCCAATCGAGACGGCAATCCGATCAAGCAACTGAAACCTTGAAAAGTATAAGACACGAGACAAGTGAATATATCATAAAATAAACTGATAGTGATGCCATAGACTTTCAGACTGTAAAAATAATAAAGGTGATCGACAACGACGCCATAGAAATTCGATCGGCTTCCTAACAAAAAATCTAACCCACAACCCCAAACATGAAAAATTCATCCCAAAGCTCAATGTAGATAAAGCTCTGGAGGTGATTCTCTACCCAGTAGCAGCAAGCTCCGCGAATGGTATGACACAAACTACCCTAGCTGCAAGTCTCATTGTTTAGTAGTTTAACAACCGACCAAGGAGATAACCAGGTTGATTAAATGAGACAGGACTTTATGTTGGGTTGCAACGTATAAAAAATGACTGATGATGTTTCCCTAGGTCCGAGTCATCAACTAAAACCAAAATTCATCACCAAACAACTATCTCAAGAAAATAACACAGTAAAGGTAAAATAACAAAAAAGAAGCAAAAGTATGCAAAAACAACAGAGATGCTTCATTGATTTCTGAATGAAAAAATATACAAGTCTTTTCTATACAAAATATTTTATATATACAAAAGTATCGTTACAAAAGTTTTTCTAGAAAATTTTTTTAAAGTTTCAACCGACTAACTGGAAGACTCTCCATTGTTTTTTTTTTCGCATCATCTTTTGATGTCATGAGCATAGGGTGTCCACTTAAACGGCATGGGAGTATGTGTCATGCATGCACAACCTCCCAAGGCTCAAGGCATCCAATTTTGATCCCCTACATTTGTTCAGGACCACATTGCTAGGATCTGACTATTGCTGAGGTGGAGGCCGATTAGCATTACATCCGTCAGATGGCTTCAACCGAAGTGACATATTTTGTTATACTTAACAAGAGCAGATTGGGCTGGGATGTGGGTTACTCACTGATGAAACATCATCAAGATGGCCCTAGATGGTAGAACGGATAGCCTAAGTGCGTATGGAGCGTCATTTTCACTTGGGGAAGGGTTTCCCAAGTTCAAACATGGCGTAAAACTCCTCATAAAGGAGGCCCCATCCAAGTGGGCCAACATCAACACACCTAAATCAGGTGTGTCCACGCCAGTCATGTGGTGTGACCATGCCAACTTTAGGAGTGGACACGCTAAGCCATCCTCCACGTGTATGGTTTGAGCCCTGCGATGTGACTACGCGAGAGACCAACGTAATCATGTCGACCACATAAAGCGGGTAACGTCATTACGCTGTCCTTTGGGTGTGGCCACACTATCCATTTGTCTTTGATGCCTAAAGGGCCATGGCTTAGCTATGTCGCGGGTCCCGATTTATGATGTTTGTCCAACAATCTTTGGATTTTTGACTGTAGTGCCGCTGGGACCATCGGATGATGCTTTTTGTCTGGTTCTTTGCCCAAAAGCGGAAGGGGAACCAACCTTGGCCTAGGTCAAATGGGGAAAATTAGCCTTAAGGCCATGGGATATTGTCCTTAGAGGGGCTGATAGTTTCCCTGTGGAGAGCTTTGGAGAATGAGAGCTTTTAAGAGAGGAGTTTTTGGGAGGATAAAGCTTTTGGTGCAAGAAAGTGAGAGGCTTTGTTTAACTTTTCACCCTTCCTTTAATATTCTTCTTCTTCTTCTTCTTGATCTTCATCTTCTTCCTCCCTTTCATCATTTTCTCCTTTTATGTCCGCCACCTTGCTAGAGAAGATAGAGGGAATAGGGAAACCTAGCTCAAGGCGTTGCTGGAATCTCCTTCTTAAGCAGATCTGTGTCCTCCTTGGGAATGGGACCTTTGCTAGAGTTCATGACATTGTTAGAATCTCCTTCTTGAGAAGAGCTTCATCCTTCTTGGAGAAGAGCCTAAGCTGGAGCGTGGAGCTTCACCGGTCACCCCTACTACTAAGAGAGCTTTTTCCTGAATAATGTTTGACGTCGGACAATCATCGCTGCAATATAACTCCTTAAACTCTCGTATTTTTTTTCCTAGAGCACTAAGTCTGGTTGTGTAGAGGATTAAGGACTAGGTTTTGCTGTGCTTAGAGAAGTCCTTTAACATAAGCAGCCGTTCAAGGACATCCCCCCTTCGAATTTGAGTGTTTCCTTGAGCCTTAGCACCAAAAAATCATACGAATAAAGATGTTTGGTAAGACCTCGTTGTTTGCTCTGATGGTTTAACTTAAATTAACAATTGAAATATAAGGAACAAAAGAATGATGACATTTATTTGGTCGACATTCACCCAATTGCTAAGAGTTCTCTTTTAGAGTCAATTCTTTGCTCCAGGTTGGGCAAATTGGATGTCAACGTTGCATTGTTTTGTTTGATATGACGTTGACATCACTTTCTATCAATTCAACCCTAAAATTCATATGATGTTGTTAGGGCAAGTTCAATGTGTCATCGAGCATCTTTGGGCAGTACTGATGTGCATGAGCATTTGTGACATTTTGCATATTGCATGTTGATCATGTGACCACTTTGGGTTTGATCGGCCGCCTCGAGTCGATTACTCAGTCTTTTGGGTCCCTGATCAACTGCACTAGCTTGATCACCCACTGTGAGTTCGACCGACATTCTCAGGTCGATCACTTGTTCTTTTGAGTTTGATTGGTCACTCAGTTCCAATCACCCACTTCAATTTGATCGACCACCTTGACACGATCAACTGATCTCTTTGGGTTTGATCGACCATCCCAGGTCGATCACCAGCTATTTTGGTTTCGACCGGTCACTCCAGTTTGATCACCAATCACCCTCTTCAGTTCGATCGGTCGCCCCGCATGATCGATCGATCACTTTTGGTATGATCGGCCATCCCAAGCCAATCACCAGCTCTTTTGTGTTTGATCGACTACACTAGCTTGATTACCCACTTCGGTTCGATCGGTCGCCCCGACATGATCGACCGATCTCTTTGGTATTGATTTGTCGTCCCGGATCGATCACCCACTCTTTCATATTTGATCGACCACATTGGTTCAATAACCCACTTCGGTTCGATCGGTTGCCTCGACACAATTGACCGGTCACAATGGGTTTGATCGGCTGCTTCACTATGACCACTATATCTTTTGGGTTCAATCACTCACTATGGATTTGATCATCTGCCTCTACCCAATCACCCGATCTCTAGGGTTCGATCAACTGTACTATATCGATCAACCGTTTTAGATCATAGTTTTAGATCATATTGGACGCCCCGATCCAATCACTCACTCTTTTGGGTCTGATCGATCGCCTGGATCTATGACCCACCTTTTTGGTTTTATTGGACTTCACGGTGTGGTCGACCAATCACTTACATATTTGTATGCTTCCTTGCATGTTGCATGTTTTCTTTGCATGTGTATGAAAAATCTTTTTAACTTTATGTTTATGATTTATTTCGTTACATGTAAAATATTTTTATCTTATATGATTTTCATGTGGCATATCTTGGATGTCTCCTTGAGCATCTTTATTTGGTGTCTCTCTTTGAGCACCCTTACCTTGTTGTGTCTCTTTGAGGATCCACACTGTCGTATGCACAAAGAATATACACTTGCACATTTTGTGAGGAGATGGCTTACACGTATATCCACATGCCTCGTTCCCCACGACATCACTCACAATATCATGGGGTATTTCTCATCGTGTTGAATATGGGTTATGTTTCACAGTTGTTGAACTCATGTGAGACATAATGTGTGTCTACCTAAGCATGTGATTATCACCCATATGAATCATATGACTTAGAATGCTTGACACTTTGCATCTTTACATGTCTGCCATTTGATTGTCATTTGCATGTTGTATACTTGACATCTATCATATCTCAGTCAAATACAATGTGTTTATTGCATGTCGTATGCTTGACCTTTCTCTTATGTCTGTTGCATATCCTACATGTTTGCATGTGTGCTTTGTGAGTGCCTCTCAGCATAGGTATCTTTTTACTCGATGCAAACTGACTTTTAGCCACTGTCTGCTTGTCGCATGACACCAGGGTCCCCTAAACAAGTGTAATTTCTTTCCATATGTAGCACGTTTTATTGGTGCATCATGTTTGTGTGTATTGTTGTATGTAGTCATCCCTGCATTCATTTTGCATGATGTGTATTTTACCTTTGGCGCATATTGTGATTGTGTCGTGCTTCGATCAAACGATCACAATGTGGGCTTATTGCATGCTTGTATGATGGCCCATTTGTCTTGATGGCTTGTCTTTCTCGTTATGAGAGTGACCCGTTTTTTTGTCGTGATACTCAAATGAGTATTGCTCGATGCCTCGATGAGCAATGCTTGCGAGCAATGTGAGTTTTGTATTACAGGTAACAATTTGTATGACTGTGCTAAAGATTCAAGGACTCTAAAGTACGTAATTGCTCCGGATTTGTTATTAGCGGTCTATTATTTTAAAATATAAAAATGATTTTTTTTTGTCATTATAAGTATTATGCATTTATTTAAAATTACATATATTTTAGGACATATGTGAGGCCACATCTTTTAAAAATATCGCCCATTTTTTGTGACGTGTTTTAGATTTCTTGGATCTTTAGGACGGGGTCGGTGTGACGACCCCATCAAAGTCAAACGATAACCGGAGACTTTAGCCTATGCACTTAGATATTGATTGAGACACTTCTTGGTGGATGTTGTGCTAGGCTAGGACTAGGATGTTATGTAGTATTTTCGACGCCTCTGGCTACAGTTCTTTGTTGGCATGTTTGTTCTAGCCAAGCGTCACTTTTATGCTTTTGGTGTGCTTGAGTGTGCTTGTGTGTGCCGATTTTTGTTATGCATGGTAGTATATTTGATCGGTCTTCTGCGGGGAGCCATGTCTTATATATACACGCACGTACAATAAAAAAGGAGAGCATGTGATAATTTACATACTAACTTTTGATTGCAGGTGCTACTTAGCTCCATCACCAGGCATGACCAGACGCGCTGCATGTATATAGTTTTCTATTTTAACATATTTTCGTGCGGTCGAGTCTTTCTATTATTTCCAGTTGTACTTTCAGAGTCTTTATGAAAGTCCTGTAACATAAGTAAGATATTAGAATGAGTTCCGAGTCGTTTTGGAGCGAGAACCACATAACGGGAAACCAGGAGCAGATACTCGTGTCATGTATCTTAATTTTACATTTGATATTGATATGTAAATTTAGAACGGGGCATGTACATGCAGAGTCAAACCACTCTTTTTCTTTTATAGGATTTGTTGTCGATCCAACAACATCGACATTTTCTTATTATTTTGATAAAACTTGTTTTCTATTACATGCTTGCATGTGTAAAATGGATTTCATTTTTTTCTGTAGATTGTCTGGGAATCACAAATGCACCGTAGGCTCTTTGATTTAAAATTCTAAATTTGTTACAAAAAAAAATATTTAAGATAATGAAATTTTAAGATTAAGTATTCAGGACTTTAAAATTCATACTTCTACTTTTCTAGATGATATTCCGGCTATATTTTAAATGAACTGCATCTATCACTATTATAATAAACTATTTAATTAAAATAATTCTTAAATATTTGAACATCAATTATTATTTCGAATTTCATAATATTTTAAATGCATGTGATAATATCACATTTTAATTTAGGAAGATATGATATTAGTATAATATTTTATTAGTTCCGTCATATATATACGTGTATTTTAACTATTCATTATTAATGATATGATTTGGACATATCAAGATGATTGTCACTTACAAACGCTGCAATTACATTCGAATAATTAAATTTATTTCCCACTTCTTAAAAATTAATTTAATATTGAATTAATCATTTCAATCATTCATAATAATTTGTTAATTTAACCAAAAAATGAAATTTATTGTTACCTTATAATTGGAGTTACAATTTAAAAATTCACACACACTCTGATACACATACACAACTCTCGAGGTCAAATTGATTACGAATATGATACACTTGCAATCAAATCGAGCGTATTGACAATACGAATCTAACGAGCTCAAAATCACTCAAATATGATATTATTAAAATACTTAAATGTCTATAAAACATTATTTGATAGAGGAAACGTCTCTAGGGCATTTGATGGGTCAGATTATTCTTTATTTACCATATAATATCTATTAATAAAGTACTACCCCCCTCTTGAGAAGGACTAGATCCTGAGATAGAGGAAGACCAAAGTCTGGAGAAGAGGGAGCTAAAATCCAATATTTACATCGACGACCCAACAAACGATTTCTGCTCATGCAACCCCTGACCACCGCTAACCACCATCGTGTTGAATCATACCATGTTCTGTGACATCTAAGCATAAGTTGCAGAACAACAAAACATACGAAAGAGCAGCACACCATCCTGAACACCAAGTACCAACACACTTCAAAGATGGGATGTTGGATTTGTAGCAACGGTTAGAAATTAGAATCACCCCTGATTATTATGCAGCAAAGATGATATATTTGTGAAACCGTGCAGTCCTCTCTTGCATGTAGAACAAGGACTTGGGTTAATTCATAGTGAATTATACTAGTTGGGTCAAACATCTTGGGTTTTTCTAGTCTTTTAGTTTTCCACGTAATAACTTATGAAGTTTTTAATGATTAATTTTTTTTATTTGAGTGTGTGTCAGATTCTCGTACAACACCAAGACAATAATTCATTACTCTATCGTCGCAAATCTTCTAACTCACATCAATATTCATAGCATTTTATTTTTTTTTGAAAAAAAATGTATTTCCTTTTTTAAAATAATTATTGTATAGCCCAAAAATACGACGTCACCGAGTCGGAAGAACGCTGCCACCGGAGACGCGCCAACAACTATTGTCCTGCAGGACCGATCACTCAGGCCAGCGATACGAAAGACCACCCGCCAGACCACCTTAGTCGGCCGCCCCATAGACCAAATCTTAAAAACAGAGAAGTTTACATAAATTTCACATCTCAAGCAGCAGGTTTATCAAGTCTTGTAGACTACCTTCTGACCAGCACCTCTTCCGCCGCGTGGCCGCTCATTGACCAGTCACCTCGTCCGTCGGGTGGCCGGTCATCTCCCCTTATGCCAGAATTGGTTGTTCGGTTGTCTTGTCACTCCGGCCGACCAACTCTTTAAAAATGAAATATCTACATAAACAATACCTTAATCCTGTTGGTCACCCTTTGGCCAGCCACCTCACCGAGCAACTGGCTGTCTGGTCGACCTTCTCCCCCTCTTGCTCACCGCTTCTTAAAAATGGAAGATTTACATAAACTACACCCAGATCTTGATGGCCAGCCACCTCGGCCCACCGGCCCGCCATCTCCCCCGATCGGTCGCCTCACTGCTTCAACCGACCACCCAACCCTTGAAAACAAAAATTTACATACATACCACTCAATTCTTATATATTAAATACAATTAAATAAATAATGTATTTATCTTTACATAACTAATGCCTAAACTTCGATATTTTATTTGTCTCTCGGTCACCAACACCTGCGCCGGCGAATCTAACAACAAGAAAGAAACATCAAGACCGATTTGAGCAGGAAAAAGAGCAACATACCCTTCATGACCCCTTTATAACAAGAATATAAATGTAATATCTTCTTCCTTCTCTTTTCTCTATAAATAGATGATCTTTTATAGGTAGTTTGCTCTTATTCTTAGTCACTTATAACTTAAACTTGTGCATGATAAAAAGGGTTGCCGAGTCCCGGGACCACTCCTATTTGCACCCTTATTCACTTGTTCTCTCTCTCCCTCTCTTTCTCCACCCTAAAATCTAACTCTATTTCATGGGATCATAGTAATAAAAATATTTTAAATAATATAAAAGTTATAATTTTATAAATGTATAAATTAAAATTAAGTACCAAAAATGAAAAAAAATATGTGAATTATGAGATGTGTAAGTGCTAAAAGAATTAAAGTCCAAGCGCTTGTGCCGGTCGCGCCACGTCCCCTCGGCAATCGCCATCCATCCCCTCCCGCCTTTCTCTCTCCACTTTTCTCTTTGTCTTCTCTGTAATTTAGAGGACGCAAAAAAATTGAAAAAAATAAAAAAATCTTTTTTAGGGTTTCAAACCATCCTGTCTCCCTCCATCCCTCCCACCTCGAATTCCGTTTAAACGGCTATCGCTGTCGCTTCTCTTCCTTACCCTTCCTGCACCTAATCTATTATCAGCATAACGAGGCAGAGGAGAAGGTGAAGTCAAAGGAAGAGGGGCTATTATGGAGTTTCCAGCGCAATAATCGGTTTAATGCTTCTGTTGCTGTCTCCAGCTCGTTCATGGATGTGGAGGTCATCCGCGACGGCGGAGGTGGCGGTGGCGTTAATTTTCAGCCATGCAGCTGTTCTTGCTCCTGCCCTTACTGCGGTTCCGGATCTCAACCTTATTCCCTCTTTCCCAGAACCTTAAAGCGCAAGCTTGAGCAGATGGAGGGCGATGTTCCGGAAGACGTGGCACGCGTCGAGATCGAGATAGAAGCGGCTGCTCTTCGGGAGGCAGTCTCAAGCCAGCAGCAATCCATTCAGGGGCTCTATTCGGAGCTCGAGGAGGAGAGGGCTGCAGCTTCTACTGCTGCATCCGAGGCTATGTCGATGATTCTTCGCCTCCAACGAGAGAAAGCAGAGGCCCAGATGGAGGCCCGTCAGTTCAAACTTCTCGCCGAGGAGAAAATGTCTCATGATCAGGAAGAAATCGCTCTGCTTGAGGATCTAATTTTTAGGCGAGACCAAACTGTGCAATCCCTGTCATGCGAACTCCAGGCTTACCATCACCGCCTTCTTTCCTTTGGCATCAATCCCGTCCCAGCTGAACCGAATCCCCCTGCAGATGTCCCCGCTGCAACCACCTCAACAGCCGCTGTGGGAGATAGCAATGCATATCATTCTCTTCGCTGTGAAATGGCAGATTTCAGGCCAAACGCCGCTGATCTCGATCTCAAATATGTGGCCGGCGATACGCCCCGGAGTCCCATTCGGCGCATGCCAAGTTTTGTAGTGGAAAAGGGTGTAATCGGAAAAGGTCAGTCCCCGAGCTGCGCTCAGCGGCCTCAACGCCGACTTTCTAATGACAGCTGCGGCTCACCATCATTCCAACAGGAGTTTGGAAGCAGTGATTTTCCTTCCATGACAGATCGTGCTTCTGATACATGTGCTGGTGGAAAGGATGACGTGAGCGACCGAGTGTATACTATTGATGCCGTGCACTGCTTGGATGCGATGCGTGATGGTGCAGATATGAGCACGCCGAGGGAGTTTTTGAGCAGGAGGGATTCGGGTAATAAAACAGTGGATGATGGAGAGATTCAGAGGCTCTATATGAGGCTGCAGGCATTAGAGGCGGACAGGGAGTCTATGAGACATGCTATCATGACCATGGGAACAGATAAGGCGCAGAGGATTTTGCTTAAAGAGATTGCTCAACAGTTGTGTAAGGAGGTGGTGCCAGAGACGAGGGTTGTGAAGAAGCCTTGCTTTGTAAGGAGTTTCTCTGTAATGTCTGTTTTTAAGGTAATTTGTGACTAAGCTGCCTTTCTTTTGTCATTTTCATTTCATGTTCTTTGATGCATGCTGGAAGATTCATAGCGGTAAAGTAATGATTATTTATCTTCTTTGCATTGCAAAACAAATCAGCACACAAGTAGATAATTAAAGAGAAATGAGCAGGAGGAGACGCCTCAATTTTTTTACGTGAAATACACTTGAAAGTGAAAAAAATCATGGAGTCTAGTTTAGTTGAAATAATCTGTTGTGAATGGTGAGTACACATGTCTACAATTTCTTGAATTAGAAAAATTGAAATATAAAATTGTATATTCGTAATCTGATTGTAGTTCTTAGCGACAACAGTAGTCGATTGTCGCGGAGGTTTTAGTCCATCGCGAGTGTTGTAGATGGTGGTTGTAGCGAAAGCTTGTCGTATAAGTCAGTTGATAAACTTGACATTAGTTGGTCAGGTGAGCTGTAGATGGTTGTTTCAAAAGTATCAGTTGACTATAGAGGTCGTAGTATGGAGTTGTAGGAGAGCTGTGGATCACGTAGGTCATATAGGTCATAGTGGCGAGCCGCGATGACGTCTGTGGGCTGCAAGGGCCGTAGTTAGGAGCTGCATGAGCTGTGGACCACGTAGTCCATGGGTGGTCACGTAAGCTGTAATGATGAGTATCATTAACATTCGTAGGCCACGAGGGCCGAAGTAAGGAGTTCTACGAAATGTAGACCACATAGGATATAATAGTGAGTTGTAATTACTTTTGTAGGTTGTAAAGGTCAGAGCGTTGTTTCCCCATCTTTGAGATGTGTTGTTGCACCGTCTTTGGGATACATTATTACACTGTCTTTGAAGTTAGCTCGATGTTCAGGATGATGTGCCGTTTCGCAGGTTGTTTTGTGACTCCGTGACGTCAGTTGTTACTTAATGCGGTGCTTTGTCGCAAGGAGTGGGTGGCGTCTGATGGTAATCGACGACGACGGACGAGTGTTGGTTGACGGTGGTTGGTGGTAATCGGCGGTTGCAGGAATATGAGGTAACTTCAATTCGTTCTCTAAGCTTTAGTTTTCTTCAGGCTTTAAAACCTCTATCCTCATCTCAATATAGGAGTAAAACTCTATTAATTGAGTTTCGTTTGTAATTAATGAAAGAATATGAACTATCCTGATCGGATGGTTCCGAGCCCTCGATTAGAAGGCATTTGATGGACATTTAAATGTCTTAATGATGTCAGCATTGAGCGATTTTAAGCTCGTTGGATTTGTCTCATCGAGACGCTTGATTTGAGTATAAGCTCGTTAGATTCCATATCTATTTGATCTTTCAAATATGTTTGAAAAGGTTTCAAAAACAGTTTAATGGCTTGATCGAAGCTTGATTTGACTTGGATTAGACCAATTTTGGTATCATTGGGTCTGTCTCATCGAACTGGTTAGTTTTTTTGTATTTTTGCTGAAATCTGAATTTTGGACGACTTTTAATCGAAGTTTGAATGTTTCTTACTTAAAGTTGTCTCGAGATCCCTGTCATTTCTTACTAAATCGAGGCATTTACGTACATAGCACACTGTTAGATATGACTCATATACCAAATAAGGGGCAGATGCTGGAGTGGAATGGAGTTAGTCAACGGAGCGGAGCTCGCGAGCAGAGTGGAGCGGAAGCATCTGTCTAATTGGGGGAGTTACGTTATGTGGGTTGAGGGTGCGGGGGCAACGCCTCTACGGTACAGTACAAAGTTAATTTTGTAATTACATATTGTACACCAGGGCTATATATATGTGTGTATTGTAGAAGGTGCATTCTATACTCTTTTTCTGAAATTGAAATAAAGTCGATGATCTGCTCCCGAGGATGTAGGCATCTTTGTCGAACATCGTTAAATCTCTATGTTTTCTTTTGAATTTGTGTCAGTTCTCGTTTTTTTACCCTAAATTTTTCAACACACATTTCTTATGTATTCACTTATCTCATACTTATACTTCCATATTTACACACATACAACGGTGATTGAGACACATTTGCATTTTTTGTTGTACATAAATAGCATTTAAATTCAGGTATTTGTTTGGAAAACCTTATGTTGTGTTAGATTTTTTTAAAAAAAAATTGAATTTGCTACAACTGTTTAAGCTAGGATTTATCATTCGTTCTTGTTAGGATTGATTTATTATCATTGTAAGGCTAATCCAAGATATAAACAAGTCGAGTTTGAGTGACATTGGACTTGACTCATGCTTATCTCGTTTGAAATTAATTTTATTCAAAATTGGCTTATGTTCAAAATTGCTCGTAAACGGTGTGTTCATGCTTGACTCAATTTATATATTCTTGCTCGTGTTCGGCTCGAAATCGACTCGTTTAAATTAGTTAGAAAAATAGATATAGGTTTTTAGATTTGAAATTGCATCATTCTTATGCAATAAAAAACGTAGAACCACATGATCCCACAAGTCGTAGGGATTTAGACTTAGATGTATATATATAATTTATTGAAGATTTAGAAGTAATTCTAAGTTGGTATACTTAAAAAAAAATACTTCTATATATAGGTTGATTGCATATATTTTCTAAATTAGATATATGCTCCAATGACTAAAAGATTTGCAGTCATCAGCATTCCAATTGTATATAGTGGTTATTTATAGCTACAATATTGTAAGATGAAATGTATGAATGAAAACTAAAAATTTGACGTTTTGCAAACCTCTCATAAATTTTGAATCCTCCTCCTGCAGGAAACCAAAATCTCTAGATCTTGAAAACCTCCACTAGATCCCGAAATCCTCCACCAGCTTTCGAAACCTCTTCTTTCATAAAGCCAATACCTACCACCATACAGCTTCTGAATTGTCTACTTTTGAACCATCAACCCCAATAATCCATATTCAATTTGAAAATCTAGTTTGAATGCCCAAGTTGTCATCACTGAAGGTAAATTTGATGTATGGTCCCAAATATTAGAGATGCATATTTCAGGACGTGACAGCCTCAAATATATTATGGGTAAAATTGATCCACCGAAGGAAATAGATGCTACACATGTGAAGTGATATACAGAAAATTAAAAGGTAAAAGTGTCGCTACTGACCTCCATATCGCTAGAGACAATGGAGTGTTATCTCCGACTGCATACCACAAGGGAAATCTGGAGTGCTCTTGTCGAAGTATTCTATGATGTATTGGAGAGACAACTCTTTGCACTGATTCATCATGCCTTCACCACCAAACAAGCTGGTTGACCTCTATCAGCTTATTATGATAAGCTTGTCAAAATTTTCCAAGATTTAGGGTGCATTTGGGTCAGTAACGTGGCGGCATCTTTTTGCCTACTTTAAAAAAAAACAACATTTTACAACCTAATTTGGCTAAGTGCTGTGACTGCTAGAAAACCGCCGTCTGTTTTTTTGACAAAAAAATTGTAAGCCAACGCAGCTTTTTAAATAATAGTTTTTTTTAACAGTAGTTTCACAGCCGCTTCTTCGAATAACTTCAACTGCCCCAAACCGGCCCTTAGATTATCATGATAAAGTTATCATGAATGATCCCAATGACATTGTCACTTATCAAACAAATTCTAAGATTATCTCCATTCAATACGTTACAAGTTTTTCACACTAATAATGATGGAGAATTTATTAATCAGGACCTGAAGAAGTACTTGCAAGAACATGACATATCTCACAAAACAATTTGTTCTTATTCCCCTCAGCAAAATAGAGTTGCAGAGTGCAAGAATCACCACCTATTTGAAGTTTTACAAACTTCTTTGTTTGAAGCTCACATGTACACTAATTACTGGGGTGAATTGCTCAGTGTTGCGAATTAACTCATTAACCATGTATCATATAACTGTCTAAATTTTTAGACTCTTTTTGAAGTTCTTCATTCAATCTAACCGCTCTTAAAACTCCAAATTTATCACTTAAAATTTTTGAGTGCGTGAAATTTGTGCGTCTTTCTTTCTAAGTCATTGCGTGATAAGTTGAAATCACAAACCCTACGATGTGTCTTTGTAGGATATGCCTCACTTCAGAAAGGCTATCGTTGCTATCATCCCCCATCACGTAAAATGTATATCACCCTTGATGTTGTCTTTCATGAAAATGACATGTACTATATTATTCCCGAGTCTTTAATTCAAGGGTAAAGACGAAATGAATTGCAAACTTTAAATCTAAATCCTTCTTTGAATCATTCAAATACAAGCGGTGAATTATTGGATAAAAGTGAGGAGGAAACTGTGTTGTGTGAGTGACCTACTTTCGACCAATCGGATGTTAGTTTGAAAGAGGAAACTAATCAAAAATAGATGGAAATGACTTCACTTCAAGTACTATGTAATCAATTGTTTTATGAGGTTGATTCCTTTCCCGGACCCTAAGTGCAACCTTAGGTACATTATGTATCTCAATTTCTTCCAAAGGTAATACCTAATCGAGCCACTAGAGGTATACTTTGAGTTAAATATGAACCTGTTATTAATTCATTAACAATTATTTATCCTATCATTGACTGTCAAAAGAGATGAGTCATTTATGAATCAATTATCTGTTGTATCTATTTCTATTAACATGCAAGAAGCACTGGGGGATCCTAGGTGGAGGGAAGCCATAAATGGAAAAATAAATTCTCTTTAGAAGAACTCAACTTCGGGAGCTGCCTGAAGGAAAGAAACTCATTTGATGAAGGTGAGTTTTCACAATTAAACACAAGGAAGATGAAACCGTTGAACGATGCAAAGCTAGACTAGTTACAAAATGGTACACTCAGGGCTATGGAATTGACTATATGGAGACATTCACACCAGTAGCAAAAATTAATGTTGTCCGTATTCTCATATCCTTGGCGTGAATCATGAATGACCATTGCACTGGTTTGATGTGAACATTGTCTTTTTGGATGATGACATTCAAGAAGAAGTATACATAAAGTTGTCCCCTTGATATAGCATGCAGCCATAATGTGGAAAACATATTTGCAGATTAAAAAAGACTATATGATTTGAAGTAATCCCCGAG